GTTACATGCCCTTGTGCTGGAACGAGTGCGTCGCGTGACCACTTTTATGAGCTGGGAAACGCACACCGTGAACGAATGCCGTCATGGTAATAAATACTGCCGAACGACCGCTGCTCCAAGTGATGAGATTTTCACTACCTTCTGCGTCCGCATACCGTCTTTGATTTAGCAGGATGGCACGAACGTAGAAGTAGCTGTTGGCGCTTATTTGAAATAAGATAATAGGTTGGGTGGTCGACCTGTGAAAGTTTTGAGTAACTTGCTTAGTACGCATTCATACGGTTCTCGGTGATTACTCCACATTCACTGTTGTTGGTTCGGGCAGCAGCAGCAGCATGGTATGTGGATGGTAGAACAGGGAAGTTCAGGTCACCGTGTCGACAAAAACGGGAGACTCAGCCCGCCTGTCATAGATATATGAACACTCCGGTTGGTCGGTTATGCCTGGCGTAATGTCTATGGTAGAAACGCCTCTTATGGTGGGTATACGCAGAGAGCAAAGAGATCTTGGACAGTTTGTGAGCGCCTGATGGTTGTCTGCCGGCCTGCCAGGGAGAGCCAGTTGGACGGTCTTCACTGCTGAATGTTTTCTAGTTCATTCTATTTCTGGTGCATACGCATGCACTATGCATTTTATCGTACGTTTCTGCTGCATTAAAAGTGCTATTGAAATGGTCCTTCGGTGATGGTATGCTGCTGCATTTTAGACCGTCCTTTACGGTGTGCTACTCCTGGCTACAGAGTAACTGTCTGCAGCGCGTTGGGATGACTGAGCCAGTTACTTCGACTTCCGGTTAGATGACATTCCATTCTCTCTCTCCCCTTCCCTTTCTCTTGCTTAGAAATATTGCCGGTTAAAACGCTTTCTTTGTTTGCTATGAGCAAGATGCGGCGTCCTTTTTATTTATGGGCATTCGTCGTTGCTCTTCTACTTGCGCGTTACTCGCAAACTTTTTTGTCCTTTCTTGCTTTACTGTACAGTTTCATGTAAAAAATGTCATTTCTACTATTGACTCTTTATTTTTATGTAGCGTATTATGGGAAATAGGAAAAATCGCGGTCAGTTGTCCATGTACACATAATAATATGTAAGAAGATCACATATATATAGTGACATAATAACACATGATTTTGGGAAGGTTGCAAAATGTTCTTGTTGGTTTCTTAAAAAATTAAGAGATTACAAATCTAGTCTGCGGTTTCTCTCACTAGTAGTCAACGCTGTGGCCTCTGGTGCATAGGCAAAGGAAAAGAGAGAGTGAGACCGACACCGAGTAATTAACCGTTTTTGCAGACCAGCACATTCCTTAACACAAGAAGTCGAACGCGCTTGGAAATCTGACGATGCGCCAGGTTCCACGGCCTGGGAGTTTGCCAACTGACGAAATTGCGTGCTACCACTCCGATCCGAGGGTCGGGCTGCAATTGTCCCTTCTTAACCTATCTCAAATGGTACTCTTACCTGTGTGAGTTATGAGACACTTCTGAATTAAGCCTGGCACGTGTCTGGTACTATACCAGACCACTCACCTGTAGACTACACGTTTCTAGGCCACGCACAATCCCAATAACGTTCCAACTCGTTCCGACATCTAGCATGTGACCCTCTCATCGCCGGTTTGACAGACGCGGCGGCATATATCAGAACATACGCAACTTACCCAGGTAAGAACCACGCTCTTTGGCGTGTACCGACTTACGAAGCGGGGTACAGGTCGTGCGTGGAACGTGTAGACGGGCGGTCTAGCTCTGTCAGCCCCCACGTTCCATCCTATCACCAACTGGTTGACGGGTTCCGACAGCTGACTGTTGTATGAGATAGGGAACAGATGGCGAATTCGGCGCCCAAGAATCCATCTCAACGGTGCATCGGCGCATTCCTCATTGCAATAGACCAGGCCTACTTGAATCCATTACGATGCGCTGGAAGTCATTTCTTCAAAAGCTGTCAACTGGTAGGATACCTCCGCCTCCGTGGCGAATAGTATGTGTGGTGTGACTGGCGGAGGGTTGGGATACAAACCCAAGGTCTCCTTAATGTGGCGTCCATGGTACCCTCGTGTTTGTGAGACACAAACCGCCCTCGTGAAAGTCTGATGCATGCCGGAGGACTGTCGTGCGTGCCACGCGTAGACTGTTCTTTAGCTTTTGCAGCCATTATGCTTGAGCCCGCCCTAAATGTGGCCTGCTCCGTGGGCCACACAGTGGACTTTGTCGCCCGTGACGGTTGAACATGTGAAATGGAAGCTAGGTTTTATGTAGGGCACATGGACGGCATGCTTTAATTCGCCATACACTGTGTCCGTACCTATCCTCGGCATTTTGACTTTATCTGATCATCAGAGTAAAGTGGCGAGTGAGGAAACAGTGAGGTCGATGCTTCGAAAGCCCGTCTCGCTATAAACGAATTAACCCGCAAGTGACCTGTGCGGAATCCACCTCAGTAGGCAGAAGCTAGCGTCTTTGTTCGCGGCGACCAAACTATTGTTTCCGACAGCCGTTATGGCTATGTTTGGTATTCTTGTACAAGACCCCGCTGCCTCAAGGTCATTCACCCCTTGCAGCGAGCCGTCCCAGACGCACTGACCTGAAACCACTCGACCGACTTCAGCTCGGACACAACCTGCGACCACACAGTCGCAGCTGCCCATGCGCCCACTTGAACGCACCTCACCCTTGCAACCAGTGCGCCTTTGTTATCATGCCACCCGACCCTGACCCTAAACCAACCAATTACATTTCCAACACTCGGCTAGACATTCCGTCATGCAGGCAAGGACATGTGACATTCGCGTAAAAAACACACCGCGACTGGGAACGAACACGTAGCTTTGACGCAAACAAACAGCCAACTCACGACAATATGCCCTATGTACAAAACAAACCTGTTCTCACTGCTCCCTGGCTCCTGACATTAGACGGAACGAAATTATCGTGTGCAGTTATGGTTGATCTTACATCCTTGACTGCCACACTATGACCGTTTTGTACGCCTAAACTCCGTCTGACTGATACAGGTAGTGGCATATCCATGTGTGTCACCCTCGTCTACTGAATATAGTTTAGTGTTAATCAGTGACTAATTGGCACCTAATGATCAATCTGTTAGAATTACTAAGGCCGTCCGCCTTACTCATACGCCTAGCGTCTTTTTTGACTTTGGAAATGAATATCAGTCCAACATGGCACAAAAGAAGCACGCAGCGATGTCCTTGTTACGCCTGCGGAAATATAATCATTCTGGGTGGGGGTCGGTTACGCTGTCCTGGTCTCAAGTGTGAGAACGGTGTGGACACTGAAATGAAAGTAAGCCAAAGGGAGACGCTGAAATTATTAGTGGGAAAGTAGCCAAAGGTAAAGTAGAAAAGAGCAACATGATGCTTCGGTTTAGAGGTAGAGTTGGTTTTAGCGGTTGGGCTAGTGACAGACTGAGAATTGAGTTTAGGGTTAGGGTTAAGTTTAAGGGTTCCGGTTAGAGTTGGAGTTTGGATTGCGGCTTACGTTTGCGTTTCCTGTTAAGGCCAGTGTTAGGATTAGGGTGGGGTTACTGTTAAGGTTGGGCTTAGGGTTTGGGTTACGGTTAAGGTTAGGGTTGGGATTTGGGTCGGTGTTGAGGTTAGACTTAGGGTTGGGTCTGGGGTCTGTGGCAGGTTTAGTGTTAGGTTTAGACCTAGCGTGAGGCTTATACTTTTGCGTTAAGGATTAGGTTTAATTTTGAGGTTACCGTTAGGTTTGGGCTGTTGCTGCAACGCGTGTCCTGTCATCTGGATCTTTTGCGGGGATTCTAGGCTTCCTTCAGTCTCGCGGCCGATTTTTCATACATCAGGTTGCTTTTCCGTTTCAACCTCAGCTACTTTCCCCATTAACGATTTCAGCATCCCCCTTCAGCCTACTTCCCTTTCAATGCCCGCGTAATCGACCCTCGTTTCATCCTGAATTATCTTGTTTTGATGGAATAATTAATGGCTTTCCTGCGCAAGGCACAGTTCTACCCCTTGTATTATTCCTTTGCAATGCGTTGAACTGTCTGTGAGTTGAGATAAAACAACCTGGCAAAAAATAGCCAAAAAAAAACATTTTGAGCATTAAGACCCTAAAATTGTTTACCAGACAGGCTAGTGAATTATCGATACGGCAAATGCTCTTGAAACCGATGTGGGTGTTCCTTTGAGACAGAATCCTAGTGTCTGGGGAAAACAGTTCGATTGTTGAGATAACCGTAGATGACATCTTCATTTAGGATCAGAGCAGGTTTTCTGTCAATCATCGTGATTACTAACGC